TATATATATATATATATATATATATATATTTTTTTAAGGAAATGTAAGAAAGCTAGAACAAATTGAACGTAGCATCTAGTTGCATTATTCACGAATAATCTATGTGCATCATAATTCTTGAGATGCAGGAACTTAGAGAATTAAAACCATCCACTAGTTTATCAATAAATCCTGATCAACACTATAAGTAATGTTCCTTCATCCCCAAAAGGATTGCACACAAAGCCCACTCATGACTCACCTCCTTATAAGCCAATGATTTGTGATCAGAAACCAAGGAACCTAGCTCCTTCATCAACGCAGCTCCTTCTAACCCATCAATGCCCGAATAGTAACCACTAACATCTTGGCACCGGTGATTCAATTTAACCTTTGCATTATCAAGAGCATAAGAAACAGGATCAAGAAAACTAGATGACACAAAGATTCCAGAGACAAAGAAATTGAAGCAATTCTCGAGCAAAATCCTGCACAGCCAAGTCCACAGTAATGGGATTAGTGGAGATTTGATGAGTAGCAACAAAATCACAACTTTAGAAGAACCCATTATCTTAAATCCTTAATTAATGAGGAAAAATTATGATTTGAGTAAACTGACCTGAAAAGCGCTTTGGGTTTTTGTTGAGAGGTTTGAAGCTTTTGGCCATGGCGATCTCTGAAGCTACATGTGTTAACCTTGATTGCTCTTTTTTGGCGTGCAGGGATGGAGTTGGAGCTCGTAGTAGAGGAGAAGAAGGTAGTGATGGGGACTGAAGCAAGGGTCATTTCCCCCTCTTTCAGTTTTTGCTGTGTTATCGTCGAGGCGATACTTTGGTTACGAGCCTGACGAATCGAATTCTAGAAACCCGCTACGTCCGATTTGGATTCGGGTCCTCTTGATTAGGAACCCTATTTCGTTAATGACTAAATTGCTTCCAAATCTATTTACTGACTATCTATTTCGTTAATTTCGTTAATGACTAAATTGCTTCCAAATCTATTTACTGACTATCTATTTCGTTAAAAATTATAATTGAAATTGTAATTATAGAAATTCCTTGCGGTTTAATGTTACAGTTGCAATCGTTTTTTTTATTTTTACATGAATTAAACAACCTTTTAATCAAAGTGATATTCACAACTTCTAGTATCATAGAAGTACGTGTTTCGGAAAAAAAGTCAAAGAAAAATATGTACAAATTTAATGGTTTCGTTTTACGTTTATATATTATAATGTTGCATGAAGCTAATTAGAATTATCAAGTTTCCATTAAAAAACCAAAATCATTAAACTTACACATCTATTTATGACATTTGAGGTAATTAATTGGTGAGCATTTTGATGCTGGAAGAGAAAGAGCGGTGATTCAATCTTTGATTATGGCCAATTGACTTCAAATCTGTTCATTCGTTTGTCAGTTGTCAGTCACCAATTTAGATGTCTTAATTGACTTCGTAACAGAAAGACACAAGCATGTGAGCATTATATAACTAAAGATATAATTGAGACTTATAACCCCTTTTTGTTCAAGATCACACAGGATGATAATATTAGATTCCACCCAATTTTGTTTGGTTGTCAAGGACCTGAGATAATGATGATATCTAGCTCTGATGATAATCTTCCTAATTGAGTTGAAATGGGAAGGAGAAATATAACAATCAAATAGCGCATATTGTTTGTGGGACATGACTGGAGTATACGACCTTTGTGGGACACGACTAGAGCTGCNGAGAAGAGCGTAATAATAGAATATTTAATAACAAACAAATATCTCACTCTCACATATATTGGCAAATTATTGTTAACATTATACATTGATCGTCTCTTCTTTTTGGAAGCGATAAGGAGCGTGCAAATTAGTTATTTCACACTTTGGCCCACAAGTAACCTATATTACTTGACTATAGTATTGATTTCTTACGCTGTAACTATTTAACGATAAGCTCTTTCTATTAGAATATTAAAATATAATCATCAACCCTCATCATAACTTCGTAGTTATGTTGTAACTGTTGGGAATTTATCAAATAATTAATATTATAGCATGAATTAAATCCAAAATCAAAATAAATAAGAGATAAGAAAATCAAGCCTGAACGGGAGCAGTCGTGTAAACACTGCCCTAGAAGATTGAGAACCCGCCTATCGCCCTGGCGCAGATGGTTCCCTTCCCCTAGCGGTAAAAACCCCCGGAAACGGCCGGCCTCTACACTCGGGCGAGAGTGCAGAGCTTCAGCTCAGATGAATGAAGTTGCCCATAAAAAACTAAAATGTAGATGAAAATAATATGTAGGGGAGAGAAGAAAAACAAGAGAAACTTGTTGTATATTTTTCCTTATTATTTTGAGCTCAACATATGGATATATATATAGGGTTGGAAAAGACGTTACAAAACCCGTAATTAATTCCGTAACGTTCGTCATAAATTTTGTAACGTTCCCCATAATTATATGGCCGTTACACATATTTTTAATTGCTAATTAAAACATGTTTTAATTACAAAAATTTATTATTATTCATGAAGGCAAAATTGTCTTTTCTTAACAAAATATCTAACAGTCCCCCCCAAAAGGCAATATTGACTGAAAACTTAAAAATCAATAAATAAATTAATAAATCACAAAATGAAAATAGGTTGGGCAACCTTTCGTATCGTGAATTCGGGAGAGGTAGCTTTCGGCTTTGAACCTTTCCTTAGTGAGTTCATCGCCACCTGAGGGACATAATGGACTAGGCCTTGAATTAGGCCCCTTTAATCAGGTATTGATGAAAACACACACAATACGCTTCATCTATTGAGCAAAGCGGGTTGAGCGTTAAAGGCCATGCTCACAATAAACCGACTCATGAGAGTTTCTAGGGGTTAGCCCAGCCCCCCCTAACCGCGGCCATCACGGTTCCTCTCACGTAGGTAAGTCCTCAAAGGGTACTACAGCTGTTTATTTAATACCCCCCACAATACACGCGTTGGACTTATTAAGAGTAAAACTCAGCCTAGCCAGCTGTATCATAAGAGCATCGTCATCATAGAGAAGGGGTAGTAGCAAATGCTACATAATGATATATAAATATATCTAGGTCGATGCTCCACACGAGTGTCACTAGTCCAGCTTGTTTCTACCACATTGAACCGACATTGGGACTACGTCTCCAAATAAGGGTTGGGTTGCCGCTGTCAGTGACCTCATCTATGGGCTTAACCCCATCTCCCTCGATGAATCCAGAACCACACTCCTGGATAATCCCTTAGTCAAAGGGTCATCAAGATTCTTTTCACAGACTTTACAAAGTCTAGAATCATAACTTTGCCTAGCAGGCGTTGTATTTATTTATCAAGTTCTTATTTTGTAATTAGTCCATCATATTGTTTGAAATTGACATTAGGTCATGATCTATGATCATAAAAGATCATAGTCTATGTCTGAAGAGATTGACCTTAATATCTGAACATTTCAAACTAATGTGGAACTAAAAATTCTGCAGTTATGCATATGCACATACATGAATGAAATTAATAATAGATACATGCAGAGCATTCAAGAGAACAATATATTTCATACTTCATAATTCATATGCATAAATTTTTTTTATTAAAATTCTTCTATTATAAGAGGTTACAAATTGGTTGCCTACAAAGGAGACCGTCCAAATTTAAATCGGTTGCCTACAAATGAGACCTTCCAAATTTAAATTGGTTGTCTACAAAAGAGACCTTCCAAATTTATGTTGTCATTTTCTAGTACCCTCTTATACAAAAATTAATAATAATAATATTTGTACATACGTGCTTTAAATTTTACAAGTGCATTCTTGCATAAAACCTTGTAATTAATCATGTAAAAAATGCAAGTTATCTAAAAGATATATGAGCATTTATTGCAATATTCATCAAAATGCAATAAAATTGATGAACTTTACATTTGAAGATTTGAAATATAATCCATCATATAAAATAGAATTTTAACACCTCTTTGATTTGGTTCGCTCATATATTGATCATTTATCATTAGGCAATATATGATGCAAGAAGCGTAATTAAATAAATGCATATGAATTTTTTTTTTCTCATAATTCCGGTCCTCTTATTCCAAACCAAAAACTCCTAAAGTGAAAAGATTAAAGTTTTACCCGGGTAGTTAGCCAGGTAAGGATAGTAATAGAGGTTGATCAAGGATCAATTAAGTACCTCGTTCCTTGCAGAGCGCATTACGCAACCCTTAAACCTTGCCTTAGACACCAACTAATCCAAGAAAACTTGAATCGGTTCACTCAATGAGTTTTTGTTCCTTAACAGTATATAGAAACTTTAAATTATTTCCTGTTAGCATTTAATTTGCCTAGCAACTATACTGCAAACATATGATGGATAAGGCCGAGGAGGGGTTTACCTATTGATGTTCGAACCTCATGATTTTCATGTCGTGAGAGCAAAACCCGTCTATAAAGCTTACACATTAAAGAGGATTAATGAAAATAATCATTTAACAACTCAAATTAATCAGCAATAAACATGTGCAATTAATCACAAAGATAATCTTTACTTTTAAAGATCTAAAATATAATTCACCATATAAAATAAAATTAAAAGATGCATAGCTTGCAAGATGATATTAGAGATCTAGTTGTCTGTATTTTTCTATAACTGAAGTTATATTATATGAAGATCTTTCCAAGTAACTGATTGTTTCTTTCAATCAATCAATGCATGTAAGAGTAGCACTGTGGCTGTCAGAAGTATTACTATGCAAGGCTTGTTGGTTATTTGTCACGCTCATTATGAGTTCCAGCATACCACATGAAAAACCTTGGCAATGATAATAATACACTTGTATCAGATACATAATCATGACATGGTGGACATTTATATCTTTCAAAGTAATTAGCCAAGGTGTGTCTACTATTTGGTGTCAATTGACATATTAATTTATAAACCTCATGTATAGGACACAAGCGTTGCATAGCAAGCTAGATTAATTACTAGTCAAGAATAATTAATAGCAATTAATCAATTACATTAACTAATTAATTTTAGCAATTAATTATTATAATTGTCCGATAAACAGTAATGAATACTAACGGACATCCCAAATTAATTTTCAGTGAACAGTAATTCATATTTTTTATGATAAACAGTAAATTTTTGATTAATTGTCGCAATTAAACAAATGCTGTAATTAAAAAAAACACTACAATTAACAGAAATTCGGACGAATAGGATTCCCCCTAATGAACAGTAACTTCCGAATGAACAGTAACTTTTTTTATTTTATTTTATTATAACTTTCGGATTTAAAACAAAAGCTATAAACTTTCAATCTTCTAGATTGTTGGGAATTTATCAAATAATTAATATTATAGCATGAATTAAATCCAAAATCAAAATAAATAAGAGATAAGAAAATCAAGCCTGAACGGGAGCAGTCGTGTAAACACTGCCCTAGAAGATTGAGAACCCGCCTATCGCCCTGGCGCAGATGGTTCCCTTCCCCTAGCGGTAAAAACCCCCGGAAACGGCCGGCCTCTACACTCGGGCGAGAGTGCAGAGCTTCAGCTCAGATGAATGAAGTTGCCCATAAAAAACTAAAATGTAGATGAAAATAATATGTAGGGGAGAGAAGAAAAACAAGAGAAACTTGTTGTATATTTTTCTTCTTATCATTTTGAGCTCAACATACGGATATATATATAGGGTTGGAAAAGACGTTACAAAACCCGTAATTAATTCCGTAACGTTCGTCATAAATTTTGTAACGTTCCCCATAATTATATGGCCGTTACACATATTTTTAATTGCTAATTAAAACATGTTTTAATTATAAAACTTTATTAC